TTTTAGATAATAACACTTCAATTTGTGTTACATTGTCGACTTAAACACAAAATGTCATAATGCAGGTTGAAACTTAAAAAATCGTGGAAGGGTTGTTTATGAAAATTAAGAAGTGAACGTTACATCAAATTAAAGCTGAAACAATGCTCTTTAATATGATATATGAATCGTATTTGGTAGTGTTATAAAATTTTTAAATAATAACACTTCAATTTGTATTATATTTTGGACTTAATCACAATATGTCATAATGCAGGTGGAAACTTAAAAAATCGTGGAAGGGTTGTTTATGAAAATTAAGAAGTGAATTTGACATCAAATTAAAGCTAAAACATTGGTCTTTAATATGGTATATGAAACCTATTAGGTTGTGTTATAAAAATTTTAAGATAATAAAACTTGAAGGTTGGTTACTTTTTCGACTTAATCACAATATGTCATAATGCAGGTGGAAACTTAAAAAATCGTGGAAAGGTTGTTTATGAAAATTAAGAAGTGAATTTTACATCAAATTAAAGCTGAAACATTGCTCTTTAATATGGTATATGAAATGTATTTGGTTGTTTTATAAAAATTTTAAGATAATAACTCTTGAATTTTGGTTACATTTTCGACTTAATCACAAACTGTCACAATGCAGGTTGAAACTTAATAAATCGTGGAAGGATTGTTTATGAAAATTAAGGAATAAATTTGATATCAAATTAAAGCTAAAATATTGCTCTTTAAGAAATGAAACTATTTGAGGTTATTAGCAAGAATTACTCTTTCTTTTGGTGAAAATTTGACATTCCATACACTTTTCATTCCGAAGATACTAAGCTTTAATCTCGACTTAACCTAAAGTTTTGTGTAATTAGCTTCAAAAATTTTTTCTTGGAGAAAGGTTTGCTATTTCAGGAATGAACTTTTTGAGGTTATAAAGCAAGAATGACTCTTCCTTTTGGTAAAAATTAGAACTCTCCACCTCTTTTCATTCCGATTTTTTTTAAATAAAGATTTAAACAATCGTATCTCAAGAACGAATTGAGATATCATGATGAAATAACAACCATTCTAAAGCAAATAAGGTTACAAATCTCTCTGTTACAAATTTACAATTACAATTTGTCTCAAATTATGGTATACACAACTTTGGAAACTGTTTTATGGTGTTTGTAAAAAAAAATGTGTAAAATTTTCATTAATGTATAATTTTACACATTTAAACACAATTCAGCTGGTTCAATGGCGAAGCTTTTCTTTATTCATGAATATTCATATTCTTCTCGATATCTATGCGTCTGAGAGCAATTTTGTTAATAATACAATTTGCTACAACTTTCGTTCGAAAAGTTTTTCTGTAGCATGCTCAGATTCAAATTTATTCAATTTTATAGTTGTTGCCTGCTGAGGCCATCACGGTCGTCTCCATGCACTTTTGTAGTGTCGAGAATATGTTGTCTAACTTTTCTTTAGTTAATGCGTCGAAGGCACTTTTAACATAACTATTAATTCATTCATAGTTTTTGGCGATGCTTGCTGGCGATTTTGATGTTTTGAGAATCCCTGGCTTGAACCTAAGAAATGATGATATCTATTGTGGCATTGACTATGGATTATGTTATCTTGATTCATTATCATTAATTTTTATGGAAACCATTTTTCTTTATCACCTTTAATTTTCTACTTATAACAGAATTTAACGCAGATGATTGTCTATTTTGATATTTTGAGAATTCCTGGCTTGAACCTAAGAAATGGTGATATCTATGATGGCATTGACTATGGATTATGTTATCTTGACTCATTCTCATTAATTTTTATGGAAAACATTTTTCTCTATCACCTTTAATTTTCAACTTATAACAGAATTTAACGCAGATGATTGTCAATTTTGAGAATTCCTGGCTTGAACCTAAGAAATGGTGATATCTATGGTGGCATTGACTATGGATTATGTTATCTTGATTCATTATCATTAATTTTTATGGGAAACGTTTTTCTCTACCACCTTTAATTTTCTACTTATAACAGAATTTAACGCGGATGATTGTCAATTTTGATATTTTGAGAATTCCTGGCTTGAACCTAAGAAATGGTGATATCTATGATGGCATTGACTATGGATTATGTTATCTTGATTCATTATCATTAATTTTTATGGGAAACGTTTTTCTCTATCACCTTTAATTTTCTACTTATAACAGAATTTAACGCAGATGATTGTCAATTTTGATATTTTGAGAATTCCTGGCTTGAACCTAAGAAATGGTGATATCTATGGTGGCATTGACTATGGATTATGTTATCTTGATTCATTATCATTAATTTTTATGGGAAACGTTTTTCTCTATCACCTTTAATTTTCTACTTATAACAGAATTTAACGCAGATAATTGTCAATTTTGAGAAGTCCTGGCTTGAACCTAAGAAATGGTGATATCTATGATGGTATTGACTATGGATTATGTTATCTTGATTCATTATCATTAATTTTTATGTGAAACGTTTTTCTCTATCACCTTTAATTTTCTACTTATAACAGAATTTAACGCAGATAATTGTCAATTTTGAGAATTCCTGGCTTGAACCTAAGAAATGGTGATATCTATGATGGTATTGACTATGGATTATGTTATCTTGATTCATTATCATTAATTTTGATGGGAAACGTTTTTCTCTACCACCTTTAATTTTCTACTTATAACAGAATTTAACGCAGATTATTGTCAATTTTGATATTTTGAGAATTCCTGGCTTGAACCTAAGAAATGGTGATATCTATGGTGGCTTTGACTATAGATTGTGTTATCTTGACTCATTATCATTAATTTTTATGGAAAACGTTTTTCTCTATCATCTTTAATTTTTTACTTATAACAGAATTTAACGCAGATGATTGCCAATTTTGATATTTTGAGAAATCCTGGTTTGAACCTAAGAAATAATGATATCTATGGTGGTATTGACTATGGATTATGTTATCTTAATTCATTATCATTAATTTTTATGGGAAACGTTTGCTCAATCACCTTTAGTTTTCTACTTATAACAGAATTTAACGCAGATGATTGTCAATTTTGATATTTTGAGAATTCCTGGCTTGAACCTAAGAAATGGTGATATCTATGATGGCATTGACTATGGATTATGTTATCTTGATTCATTATCACTAATTTTTATGGAAAACGTTTTTCTCTATCACATTTCATTTTCTCCTTATAACAGAATTTACCGCAGATGATTGTCAATTTTGATATTTTGAGAATTCCTGACTTGAACCTAAGAAATGGTGATACCTATGATGGCATTGACTATGGATTATGTTATCTTGACTCATTATCATTAATTTTTATGGAAAACATTTTTCTCTATCACCTTTAATTTTCTACTTATAACAGAATTTAACGCAGAGGATTGTCAATTTTGATATTTTGAGAAATCCTGGGTTGAACCTAAGAAATGGTGATATCTATGGTGGTATTGACTATGGATTATGTTATCTTGACTCATTATCATTAATTTTTATGGAAAACGTTTTTCTCTATCACCTTTAATTTTCTACTTATAGTAAAATTTAACGCAGATGATTGTCAATTTTGATATTTTGAGAATTTCTCCAAGCTTTACTTAATCCATAAATTTTAGAGAAATGTATACCATAATTTGAGACAGGAAGTAGTATTAATTAATGTATAGGGTCTCGATTTATTTATAACATCTGTTTCTTCCGGTTTTTCTGCTTCGCAGCACTTTATTAAGCTCGATTTTATTGTTTTCGCTTCTTTGCAAGCCGCAATTTACACACACGACAGTTTTCAACACTTTACTTTTACTGCACTTATAGGTAAGTGGCTTCAACTTCGTCGGCCATTTTTATATCATAATATACCATCAGGGTACAGAACTTTTGTAACAAAACAATACGATTTCCCCCTCCACTTGTACCCACGTTTTGTTACAAAATTTTCGTGCCCTATAATAAGCAGGAATCTGCATGGTACTTTAAGCAGAAGAAGTATTTAAGAAATGAAACTTTTTTTAGTTATAAAGCAAGAATTAGTCTTTCTTTTGGTGAAAATTTGAACTCTCCACCTCTTTCCATTACAATGATACAAACATTAAATCTGGACTAAAATAATTTGAACCACTAAATATCTCCCATTTGATTTTGTGTATAAGGAGTTATAATTACGGCTGAGTGACGGTTCGGACAAGCTTGGCGACCGTTAATTAACAAAGTTGCGGTCGGAAATTTAATTAAATCGAATTTTGTTGATACTAATTTCGAGTTGACGGACCGCGCCCGCGTGTGTTGACCCACTTGTGCAATATTAATTCGTACTTGTGCACACATGCCTTCGAACGAGCCGGATGCTCTACAAACCAAACCCTATCCACTAAAATTCAATCATAATTTCCAAATTATCCCTATTGATCATAAAAAGATTTTTTATTTCATCTTGAATCCTTTGTACCAATCATTCCTTCCTATATTGACAGGTCGCGTTAACTTATCACGTCGTGTATAGTCAGAAGGAAAGCTGAAACCTTTCACCGGACTTTAGCATCGCGAAGGAGAAAAGGGGAGCAGTAATCCATCTCCAACACCATCCCCGAAAGGACCAAAGGACGATGTATCGTTTCTTTACCTTTGAAGGGATCGACTTTGGGTCTTCGGGGTCTAGTTTTATCGTTTCAGGGCGATCTTGTAAGACCTTTACCACCTCTTGGTCTTTCAACCTCTCTTCACGCAAAGGGTGACGGAGATCATTATCAAGGTTTAATTAATTGAATTTCCAACCCTCAGGTTTCCATCTTTTAGTTTAGGGTGCAAAAAAAAATTGGACGTGATGAGTAAGAAGTGAATGTGATTTCATCTCTAAGGGATTTAAATCGTCGCCTGATTACCGAACGACTGATTGTGAGTCAGAAGTTGGTAATTTTTCACGAAGGGGAAAAATTCAAGTCGTGTGTGTGTCATACACGCAATATACGACTGGAGTATAATAAAATAATTTCGTTTAGATTAATTTATTTATAAATTTACTTAATATAACTTTCAATCCAATAATAAACTTTATCTATTGAAGCTTGATAACTATCTCCGGAACAATCAGCATTTTGAACCAAACTTTGAACCCCAACCAATTGATTATCATAAACAACCGGTCCACCAAAATCGCCATAACAAGATGTAATTCCTTTAAATGTAGCATTAGTCACCATCGTATCATTTCCTGTATATCCTTTAATATTCATATAAGCCACTCTTAAATAATCAGATGGAGTAGTCGAAGAACATTTACCCGAAGCATCTTTTTGATTACAATTAGTTAATCCAAATCCAATAATTGTTACAACCTCATTTACGTTATAATGAGTTGGGGAAGGTGCGATATTACCCACTTTATTGCTATATACAATATTGGAACTTAAAAAGAGAATTGATACGTCATAATCGGAAAATCCTGATTTGTATTGTGGATGGGATGTGATTTTGTTAACTCCTTGTGGGTATATTGATTGCACATCTGATATATTTTTCACTCCTGCGTAAATTTTTAAATTTGCTGCTGAAATTCCCGCCATTGTTGATGCCGCCGAGATGACTACATTTTCTTTTACGATTGTTCCTCCACAATATGGCTTTCCGTTTAGATATATAAAGGCGTAGTATTTATAGAAATCTGTGCGACCGACCCAACCGTTTATTATCCTGTTTTGTATGTGATGGGTTTTGCCTAAAAACGAAAAATGTTACTAAATCTGTATAAAATTTGCTTTAAAATGGTTGTTATTTCATGATGATATATTAATTCGTTTTTGAGATACGATCTTTTAAATTTTTATTTTTATAAAAATAAGCAAAGATGCAGAGTTGAGTTTAAAAAATCACAACAATGATATTTATGGAAAATAAGAAATTGTTTATGGAACACTAAATTTGCTTCAAAATGTTTCTTATTTCATCATTATATTTCAATTAGTTCTTGAGATACGATTTTTTTAAGTTTCACTTCTCAAATTTACAACCAAATGCACCGAGTTGTATTAAAAGAATCATAAAAACGATTTTGATTGAAACTAAAAAATTATTTTTGCCACTATACATCTTTATAAAATTTGCTTTAAAATGGTTGTTATTTCAGCATGATATCTCAATTCGTTCTTGAGATACGATTGTCTAAAATTTTATTTTGAAAAAATAAACAAAGTTGTAGAGTTGAACTTAAAAAATCACAACAACGACATTTATGGAAAATAAGAAATTATTTATGGAACACTAAATTTAGATTAAATTTGCTTTAAAATGCTTTTTATTTCAACATTATATCTCAATTAGTTCTTGAGATACGATTTTTTTAAATTTCACTTATCAAATTTATATCAACTAAATCTGTCGAGTTGTTTAAAAAAATCATAACAACGATTTTTATTGAAACTAAAAAATTATTTTTGCCACTATACATCTTTATAAAATTTGCTTTAAAATGGTTATTTCATCATGATATCTCAATTCGTTCTTGAGATACTATTGTCTAAAATTTAATTTTGAAAAAATAAACAAAGTTGTAGAGTTGAGCTTAAAAAATCACAACGACATTTATGGAAAATAAGAAAATATTTATGGAACACTAAATTTGGATTAAATTTGCTTTAAAATGGTTGTTATTTCATCATGATATCTCAATTCGCTCTTGAGATACGATTGTCTAAATTTAATTTTGAAAAAATAAACAAAGTTGTAGAGTTGAGCTTAAAAAATCACAACAACGACGTTTATGGAAAATAAGAAATTATTTATGGAACACTAAATTTGCATTAAATTTGCTCTAAAATGTAGTTTATTTCATCATGATATCTCAATTAATTCTTGAGATACGATTTTTTTTTAATTTTACCTATCAAATTTAGAACAACTAAATGTGCCGAGTTGTATTAAAAGAATCATAAAAACGATTTTGATTGAAACTAAAAAATTATTTTTGCCACTATACATCTTTATAAAATTTGCTTTAAAATGAGTGTTATTTCATCATAATATCTCAATTCGTTCTTGAGATACGATTGTCTAAAATTTAATTTTGAAAAAATAAACAAAGTTGTAGAGTTGAGCTTAAAAAAACACAAAAACGACGTTTATGGAAAATAAGAAATTATTTATGGAACACTAAATTTCGATTAAATTTGCTTTAAAATGTTCTTTATTTCAACATTATATCTCAATTCGTTCTTGAGATACAATTTTTTTAAATTTAACTTCTCAAATTGACAACTAAATGTACCGAGTTGTATTAAAAGAATCATAAAAACGATTTTTATTGAAACTAAAAAATTATTTTTGCCACTATACATCTTTATAAAATTTGCTTTTAAATGGTTGTTATTTCATCATGATATCTCAATTCGTTCTTGAGATACGATCGTCTAAAATTTAATTTTGAAAAAATAAACAAAGTTGTAGAGTTGAGCTTAAAAAATCACAACAACGACATTTATGGAAAATAAGAAATTATTTATGGAACACTAAATTTGCATTAAATTTGCTTCAAAATGTTTCTTATTTCATCATTATATCTCAATTAGTTCTTGAGATACGATTTTATTAAGTTTCACTTCTTAAATTTACAACAACTAAATGTGTCGAGTTGGATTCAAAATATCACTTTGACCTTGTTTTAAGGAGTTGAAAACGATTTATATCTTAAATTAAACCTGAAAAGTTCTATTTTTGAATTATGTGCAGAAACATTGCAGTAAGATATAAAACATTTTTTAAAAAGACCTGTTTATTCAACTTATGTCAAAAAATGTGAAAATTAAAAAATCGCAACTTTGTGATTTGACAATCTGAAGAGGTTATCTTTATGATACTAAATATACATTAAGTATCCTATAAAATGGTTTTTACTTCATTGCTCTATCTCAACTCGTTTTTGAGATATGATTTTTTAAATATTGATGTGTAAAAACTTTCCGTCGATTTTAATTACGCAGAGTTTCACCTCAAAAATCATAACACCGACACTTATTGATTTGAAGTTGTGACCTTTGACATATTAAACACTACTTAAATTTGCTATAAAACACCATTTATCTCGTAATGATATCTCAGTTCATTTTTGAGATACGAATCTTTGAAGTTTGATCCCCTCTATAATTGTCATAATGCATAATTGAACTTAATAAATCATAATTTTTAGATTTAATGAAACGAAGAATTTAAATTTATTGTATTAAATACATATTAAATTCCCATTAAAATGCTTCTTATTTCATTACGTTATCTCAATTGGTTCTTGAGATACGATTTTTTAAATATTGATGTGTAATAATTTTTATTATGCAGGGTGGCACTTAAGAAATTATAACACCTACATGTGGAGATTTAAAACGATGAGTTTCACTACATTAAATATTACTTAAATTTGCTATAAAACACCATTTATCTCGTAATGATATCTCAGTTCATTTCTGAGATACGAATCTTTGAAGTTTGATCCCCCTCTATAATTGTCATAATGAATAATTGAACTTAATAAATCATAAATTTTAGATTTAATGAAACGAAGAATTTAAATTTATTGCACTAAATATATATTAAATTCTCTTTAAAAGACTTCTTATTTCATTACGTTATCTCAATTGGTTCTTGAGATACGATTTTTTAAATATAGATGTATAAAAATTCTACGTCAATTTTTGTTATGTAGAGTTGCAATTAAAAAATCATAACACCTACATGTGAAGATTTGAAACAATGACTTTCACTACATTAAATACTACTTAAATTTGCTATAAAATACCATTTATCTCGTAATGATATCCCAGTTCATNTTATTTGCTTTTAAATGGTTGTTATTTCATCATGATATCTCAATTCGTTCTTGAGATACGATCGTCTAAAATTTAATTTTGAAAAAATAAACAAAGTTGTAGAGTTGAGCTTAAAAAATCACAACAACGACATTTATGGAAAATAAGAAATTATTTATGGAACACTAAATTTGGATAAAATTTGCTTTAAAATGTTCTTTATTTCAACATTATATCTCAATTCGTTCTTGAGATACGATTTTTTTAAGTTTCACTTATCAAATTTACAACCAAATGTACCGAGTTGTATTAAAAGAATCATAAAAGCGATTTTTATTGAAACTAAAAAATTATTTTTACCACTATACATCTCTTTAAAATTTGCTTTAAAATGGTTGTTATTTCATCATGATATCTCAATTCGCTCTTGAGATACGATTGTCTAAAATTTAATTTTGAAAAAATAAACAAAGTTGTAGAGTTGAGCTTAAAAAATCACAACAACGACATTTATAGAAAATAAGAAATTATTTATGGAACACTAAATTTGGATTAAATTTGCTTTAAAATGTTCTTTATTTCATCGTGATATCTCAATTCGTTCTTGAGATACGATTTTTTTAAGTTTAACTTCTCAAATTTACAACAACTAAATGTGCCGAGTTGTATTAAAAGAATCATAAAAACGATTTTTATTGAAACTAAAAAATTATTTTTACCGCTATACATCTTTATAAAATTTGCTTTAAAATGGTTGTTATTTCATCGTGATATCTCAATTAGTTCTTGAGATACGATTGTCTACAATTTTATTTTTAAAAAATAAACAAAGTTGTAGAGTTTAGCTTAAAAAATCACAACAACGACGTTTATGGAAAATAAGAAATTATTTATGGAACACTAAATTTGGATTAAATTTGCTTTAAAATGTTCTTTATTTCATCGTGATATCTCAATTCGTTCTTGAGATACGATTTTTTTAAGTTTAACTTCTCAAATTTACAACAACTAAATGTGCCGAGTTGTATTAAAAGAATCATAAAAACGATTTTTATTGAAACTAAAAAATTATTTTTACCGCTATACATCTTTATAAAATTTGCTTTAAAATGGTTGTTATTTCATCATGATATCTCAATTCGTTCTTGAGATACGATTGTCTACAATTTTATTTTTAAAAAATAAACAAAGTTGTAGAGTTTAGCTTAAAAAATCACAACAACGACGTTTATGGAAAATAAGAAATTATTTATGGAACACTAAATTTGGATTAAATTTGCTTTAAAATGTTCTTTATTTCATCGTGATATCTCAATTCGTTCTTGAGATACGATTTTTTTAAGTTTAACTTCTCAAATTTACAACAACTAAATGTGCCGAGTTGTATTAAAAGAATCATAAAAACGATTTTTATTGAAACTAAAAAATTATTTTTACCGCTATACATCTTTATAAAATTTGCTTTAAAATGGTTGTTATTTCATCGTGATATCTCAATTAGTTCTTGAGATACGATTGTCTACAATTTTATTTTTAAAAAATAAACAAAGTTGTAGAGTTTAGCTTAAAAAATCACAACAACGACGTTTATGGAAAATAAGAAATTATTTATGGAACACTAAATTTGGATTAAATTTGCTTTAAAATGTTCTTTATTTCATCGTGATATCTCAATTCGTT